TGAAAGGGGCAGGAGGGTGGCTAGCCCGGGCTGTAGGCTGAAGGGTCTCTTCTTCTCCATCAGTATCTGTGTCCTCAGACTCATCCTCCTGCTCAGAGTCTGTCCCGGACAGCTTCTGGTCCTTGCCTTTGCTTCCCATTCCACCATTCTTCCGACCACTGCAGCCTGGTTTCCGACCGCTGCGAGCACATTGTCCTCATCCATGTGGCTGTTTCCCCCACCCCCTGCACGTCAGGCACCGACGCCGCCAAGTCCTTCAAAAAGTCAAACTGCCGCTCCAGCTCAGTGCGTTGCTTCAGGTGGGACGTGGTCATGGTTTTGGCGTTGCGAGACTGGGTCACTTGGCAGGCTTTCTTCAACAGTGACTCCAGAAAGGGCCCGAGCTCCCGGGAGACGATGACAGGCACAGCCGCTGCCACCTGCCCAATCTTCTCGCCCGTCTGCATGATCTTCGTGACCTGTGCAGGCGGGAACCACGCATTGTACTTCTGGCTCAGCATCTCAGGACCTCTCCCACCGTTCAGGGCCCAGTGCCGCCTCCCGAAGCCTCCCGCCCAGGGCCTGCTTGCTGCCCCTGGAGATTTGCTCTGAAGTGCAGTTCTTGCATGTCCTTGTCTCCTGGATTTGTTCTGGGTGGGCTGGAGGACTGAGATTGCCTTTTTTTTTTTTTTTTTTTAAATGTATTTATGACAGGGTCTACAGGATCTACAGGGTCTCCAAGGTCTCTCTACACAGATTGGACTCGTAGTGATTCTGTTTTCAGCCTCCCAAGTGCTGGGATTACAGGCGCGTGCCACCACACCCAGTCTCATTCCCCAACTCAGCGCGCCCTGTGGGCGGGGCCGGCACGGCAGGCCAGGGGATCGAACCCCTGCCTCTGCGTCTGCGTCGAATGCCTGCCTAAGCAGGCATTTTAGTCCGCTGAGCTATTGGGCTGACCGTAGCTCTTAAAATTTTTTTGAAAAAAATTTTTTTTATGCTTTGTCAAGTGTGAGGTATTTTTTTAATAGGTTGATGATAGAAGCTATTTATGAAATTTAAATAATTTCCTTCTTTGTTTAACAAGTTTTTATATTGAAAATTAACGTTGTTCATTAAACACCTAAAAAAACCCCTCTCATATACTTTTCTTTCTGTAATTTAAAAAAATTTTTGGTCTTTTTGAGACAGGGTCTTGCTATGTAGCTTAGGCTGATTTTGAGCTCACTTTGTAGCCTAGGTTGGTCTTGCTCTTGTGAGGATCCTCCTGCCTCAGCCTCCCGAGTGCTGGGATTACAGGTGTGTACCACCATGCCCAGTTTTAACATTTTAAAGTTGACATTGTCATTAGTAGCAAAATTGTTACTTGGTTCACATGGCATAGAACTTACTTGAAGATTTCATAACATTTCCTTGCAAAATCATTAAAGGCTACTTATGGCATAGATGTTTACTACTTTTTATTGTTTCTAAAAATATCCACTTAGGATATACTTACAAGTTCAAGTTTTGTTAATTTATATTTTCCTAGGCAATACTCCCTTTAATCTAGATTTGCAATAAAATAATGACATTGCCTTAATTTAAAGTAATATTATTTAGTGTGCATTTATCACATTATTTTCCTTGATCCTATCTTAATGACATTTGTATATTATTTTTCTTTAATCAGACTTACCAGAGTTTGCCATTATATTCTTGTCAAGGAGTATATGTATGTATTTTATTTTATTTTTATTTATTTATTTTTTTAAAAAAAATATTTATTTATTTATTTATGTGTGTGTGGCCAGCTCAGCCCACCAGGGGGCAGGGCTGGCTGGCATGTGGTGCTGGGGGATTGAACCGCGGTCCCTGTGCTTTGTTAAGCTTGTTCTAAGTAGGTGCTTTAGACCACTGAGCCATCTCACCAGCCAGTAATGTATTTTAGTAAATTGGCTTCCATTATCTAATTTTTAAATTTGCCTTATTGATTTCTATTATTATTATTACTATTATTATTCTTTTTACCACCATCATAATTCCAAAGAACCATTTAAAAACTTAATTTGTGTGGGGAAAAAATGGCTTTAAGCATTGGTGACTGAAGACTGAAACAACCTCTTGTTTTAGATCTCCTCTTCTAGATCTCTGTTGGAAAGAAATTTTTATTTATGTATTTTTAAAAGGTATTTAGTACAAGGTGTACAGAGTCTCACAATGTAGAACAGACTCGTAGTGTTTCTCCCGTTCTCAGCCTCCTGAGCGCTGAAATGACAGGCACACCTCCACGCCCAGTCTCAATCGGCTCAGCGCGCCCCGGGGCGTGGCCAGCATAGCACCGGGATCTACCCGGCGGAGCTCGTCCTAAGCAGGCGCTCTAGTCTGCTGAGCTATCCGGCTGGTTTAAGAAATTAGGTTTTTTTTTTGTTGTTGTTGTTTTTTTGTACTTTTACTTTAGGGAATGGTGCTCAGGGTCTCACTACTAGATCATACTCAGGAGTGATCCTCCTGTTTACGGTCTCCCAAGAGCTGGGATTACAGGCACATGCCACCACGCCCAACCTCAATTGTCTTCTTAGCGCGTTCCAGGGGCAGGGCTGGCACAGCATCCCCCCTGCCCCTCCCCCCGCCCCATCACACACCTGCATGCAGGCACTTTAATCCGCTGAGCTATTTGGCTGACCCCAAAAAACTCTATTGTTTAAATTTTCCTGTTCTCCACCCCCCCCCTTTTTTTTTCCTTGGTTGTCACTGTTTGTAGGACAGACACTTCTCTGTGATGGGTACTTACAGAATTTCAAATGTCTCCGATAAATCCTTTGAGATGTTAATCGCTTGTCTTCACCAGAATGACGCGGTTAGAGCTGGAATGACCCAGGCATAAAAGTTAATTGCTGAATTAGTTATCACTGTAGACCTTGCCATAATGCAGGGTAGCGTAAAGTCTGGAGGAGACTACACAGTGGGAACAGAAGAGTCCCCTTTGGCAAAGCAACTTGTACCTCAAAATAGAAGTAGATAAATGAGTTTGTGCTAGAACTTTGCATGCATTTTGAGCCTATAGCAAAAATGGCACAGAAAATTAGCTTCTTAGTTATACTTTAAAACAGATGTACCAGTTCTATTCTGCCTGTGGGGTCCTTTTATGACTGTCCCTACAGGAAGCCTTCAGTAATGACAAAGAAAATGAAAATATTTGCATTTTAAATAAATTTTGCAATCATTTTCTATCTTGCTATTCTGCTGTCACTCTTATGCATTTTTGCAAACATTAAAGGCAGAACTGATTAGAGCAAGAAGCCTGTTGCCCACCCAGCACCTCCTGAGCCACCATGCTCGTCCAGGGGCTGGGAATTTATCGTTACCAGCCAGGCTAATGCCTAATTGTCTCCACATTGTGTGAAGTGTAAAGGCCTTCACGACAACGGGGCAGAAGTTTAGTCCATTCGATTTATTTAACACCTCATAACACTCTGAAGTTCTCCTTCATTGCCCAGGCTTGTAAAATTTATTATGAACCTTTAATCTTTCCCCTGCTTTCCTTAGGTTTTTAAAGTGAATGTAAAACAAAACAAACATGGTCTATAAAAATACCCCCTCTTCAGCAGCACATCATGTTCTGTGTGCAGTGATTAGAGGCTTGGCGGTGCCTTTAAAGATCTGTTGCCGGAGTGTTGGCCTTTTCCAGCCTTTCTTACAGGCTTTTTTTTTTTTTTTAATGTAAAAGAGATGACAACAGAAAGTAAACATTTGTATGCATTAAATTCCTCATTTTGACTTTTATTTTTATTTATTTTCTTTTTCTGACTTATTTTTTTTTTAAAGATCACTACTTTAACATAAAGATAATAGGTACATGATCAAAAACATATTATTACTTTTATCGAAAAGATAATATATTTTCAAGAAAAATTAAACCATTATGGAACAGAATAAACAAACAAAAACCACTCTTGTTCCTCATTTCTAACTCTCCTCTCTGTGTTTGTGATTCTTTGGGTGTTGCAGCATTTTTTTCAGTCTTTGAAATTGCACTGAGGCTCACAGGAGGCCTCCCTAGCTGATTAGGGGAGCTCAGGACAGTGATGACCGCTGGGCCCGACTGCTAACCTCCTGTGTCTCTGAATCACCTGATGGTTTCCTATGCTTTTACATTCCTGGGTCTATTCCTAAACATCTGATCTGTTCCTCTGATATACTTACAGCATCTAATGCTTATTTGCTTCAGGACATAATGCCAAATAAACTCACAACAATATTAAAATAGATTTTGAAGAAGTCAGGACCAGAGAAAACCTTGGAGGAAATACTACATTAAAATATTACTTGGAGATGAAAATGCTCTTCATCACTGCCTTTCTTTACTTGTATTGCTGGGTTTGCAAATGGCTTTGTACTAGCCCTCCCACTTCCTTCCAAGTTGTACAAGACAGGGCTCCAGTCATCAGGGAAGTCTACTGGAGAGGTAAAGCTTGAGACATGGGGGTATTTGTGTGCAGTAAGAACAACTCTAGACTGAGCTACCTCTGGAGAGAGCCATGAGCTCTACAAGGACGAGGGTGGGGAACAGGGAATGAATGACTCGGAACAAGAGGAGTCTCATCTATTTTTGAGAGGTGAATAATCTCCATTAGGAAGCATGGAGGATTGTAGAGACTTGTATGCATTTTAAGAAATGCCATAATTTGAAATGGTGGATGATAGAAGCTATTGTTAACATTGATTTGTGAGGCTGGTTAAGTTTTTTCTCAGGAGGTATGACACTATAGGTGATATCATTCTATGTCATATATTTGTATAAAAACTGATATGACTGATACAACTGGTGTTTGAATGATTTTACAGACTTAATGATTGCACCATTTAATGCGACATATAGATTCTGTTTAAAGTGTATAATCTGGATAATTAAAAATACATATGTGATTATTAAAAATATACATTTTTATGACCCACATTTGGTCTTTCCCCCTCCTACTTTTTAAAATTGCTCTTTAAAAACTGTTACTTAGCTCTCCATAAAACATTGTATTTTGCAATGAGGTAAGTAAGATCTTTGAATTGCCTCAAATTCATAAACCTGGGTCCAGAGATTATAGCTTCCTCAACTAAACCAGGAAATACATATGCTTAAGTGATCAAGTGTACTTATGGAGTTAAAACCTGCCTAAAATTCCCAAATACATTTGTAAGCACTTTCTCAGAGGACCATGCACCAAAAGACGGTTGTCCCGCACATTGGTGCAACAGTGATTTGTGTGCCACTGAGCTCAGAACATCTGATGACTGGCTTTCATCTGCACACAGATTTGAGTCTTTTCTTGTTTACTTTTTCTTTGTGCTGAGAATGTGTGGTTAAACTTGTGTCTCGGGGATCCTGTAGATCAGGAAATGATGGTTGCTGCAGAGGTTTAATTTCCCTCAACTCTCCATGGTTTTGCTGTAACTAAATCTAAGACATCCTCCCTTGATTGTTTGATTTTGATCTGTCCTCAGCCATTTAAGCTCAGTAGTAGCAAGTGGAGGTGATTCTCAGGTA